TCTATTTTTTTTTTAAATTCGTTGAGTTTTGCAAAGTTCCCTGAAATTATACACATTTTTCTGAATTTAATTTTAATTCTTAAGAAGTTACGATATCTTAAGAAGTTAATTCTAGTTTTATTAAGTACCCTGAAGGAGGAATTCCAGGGCAAATAGTGATAAAATTAACAAATCTTAGATTGACGTCCTCGAATGCCATGCAACTTTGCATAATTGTTGACAATGGAGCAATGAACCAAATTGAACATTAAGCCTTTAATAAAGGCATTTTCGATATTTAAAAAAAAACAACATTTTTCACGAAGACGGGTCATCTTAACGAAATGTCGTCTGAGACAAATTTGTAGGAAACTAAATTGCCTGTGGCCAGGTGGCAAAGGTGTCATTTTCCTCTGAAATATTCCAGAGGGGCCGAAAAATTACTCTATGAACATCTACAAAGAATCCCTAAGCTAAACTTATTGAAAATGATGATCAACTTCTTCCAAGTTCTTTCATTTGGACCAAGATCAGAACATCAATGGCTTTTTTCAAGCATCAGAAAAGACCTTGAACCGTTTCTACGCATGTTTTTAAACATCTGGGCGACAAAAAAAGTTCTCAAAATACCAAATCAAACCCTGAAGTTCAAAGAAGTATGCTGGATTTCCAGAAAATACTCCCTGATCTGGTGCGCAATTTCCTGAACTTCTATGAAGTTCACTGAAGTTATACAAAATTTCCTGTATTTCTTCGGAATTTCATGATCTATTTTACTTTTTAAGATGCAAAAAAGCCTTAAGAAGTTATTTCAAGTTTTTAAAAGTGTCCTGAAGGAACAGTTCCAGGCCAAATAGCGATAAAAATCAACAAATTACAGATTTACCTCTTAAAATTCAATGAAACTTCGCTATTAACCAAGTTTGTGCCGGTATTCGGCCATTTTAACTTAAGGCTAATTTATCAATAAGGCGTATTTGATATGTTTAAATAAATCATAGCACGAAAACGGCTTATCTTATCGAAATGACTTCTAGGACGAAGTTGTAGGAATCTGGTTTGCCTTTTCAGAAAAAAAAATACACACAGAAAAAAAAATCCACAGAAAATATGCATAAAAATATTGTTGTTATTCAGAGACTTTAATTATGTTTATTTGTTTATCAAAAATGCAAGCTTTTTCTTAAATGGACACAATGGACACTTAAGAAATGACCAAAATCGTAGAACATAAACATATAGTAAATTTTTTGAACTTTTTTTTCCATGCAATATTTATGTGATTTGTGCAAAGGAACGATTTCTCTACACTCGAAAAATTTTCACACGTCATCATCATGTGTCTCACACTAAATTTTTCGCTTATTGTGAAACACATTCATTTCATGTGTGAATCTTATGCTATGAACCATGTCCATAGGCGTAGCAGTCGCCCCTACCCCTGCCCCCCTAAACTCAGCAACACAAAGGCTTTCGGGTAAATGGCGTTCGGTGAAATGGCATTCGGTCAAATTTTCCATAGTAATCCTGTCTAATCCTGGCTACGCCCTTGACCATACCTGAACACTATGGATTTGAATTGTGACACACTTGGATTCTATGTACAACATATGCTGATATCAATAGCTTTGCACATCATAGTTCAATATTCTACAATATTCTACTTTATCGACTTCTACTTTACCGACTCTAAAAATGAATCGACAAATATATAAACAAAACTTCCAGAAGCCAAAGCTTTTATATATCTTTTTAAGGGGTCTGATTTGGGATTCGATCATGGACTGTTGTGGTGTGCTGCTGCCGGAGTCTTTGTTCGATCTCACTGTGCCACGGTTGTTCTCATATATGAGGCGGGTTGATAGGACGAAGTCACAACTCTTGTTTTCGATGTTTACCTTTCTGAGCAAGCAATTCACATCGTATTGAAATGCAAAACACTCTAAATCCATCTATTTTGAACAGTAGTGTGATTCAATGTGCAATACTGTAGTGTTTCAAACTTTGAAATGTTGAAAATCTTTTACTATATATTCAAGTCTTGAATAGATAGTAAAAGATTTTCAACATTTCAAAGTTTGAAACACTAGAAAATAACGTGTATAACACATTGAACCAAGGTGAAATTCACTTAAAGTAAATGTGATTGTGCATTTAAAAAATCAAGTGTCAAACACTTCGATCAAAAGTGTGAAATTTTTTGAGTGTAAAACTTTGTCTTGGATATCATATAAATCCACCAAAGTTCCCATAACTTCAGCTAACTTTCCCAAACTTGTATAAGGTTTCCAGTTCTACATAGTTTTCCCGATTTTTTACAAAGCACCCAAAATTTCTTCAAAATTATCTGAAGCTCTACGAAGTTCCCTGAATTTAAATCAAATGCCCTGAATTTATTTAATTCTTCTGAACTGCCGTTGATGGCAAGCTCGTCCTATAGCACAAATCAGCAAATCAATTTTTCTACACTCAACTTAGCCGAAAATGAAGACAACCTTAACAGATAGACCAACTACCTACATGAATTTAAATTTTGACATAAAAACATTCTCTTGATCAAGGCAACCTCTGAGTATCGAAGTCAACATTTGTTTTCGATCATTCGTGGTCGATGTGCGGTATAAGAGGTGAGGAGAAAGGAAACTAGTGGACTCTTTCGTACTCGCGTCTTCTTATGCAGCAACAAACGTGACGTCACGTCTGCTGTTGCATAAGAACACCGTCAGAATGAAAGAGTCCACTAGTTTCCTTTCTCCTCACCTCTTTAACCGCACATCGATTCGTGGTTGGATGATCATTCTCGCTTGTTTTGTTGTCAATATTAATACACTCGTCTTCAGCTTGGTGGAGATGATTTTGAGAAAATATTGCTCAAAATGAATTTGATTATTTTGCTTTTGAGAATCGCTTCTGATTTTAACAAAATTGGGTTGAATAATCAAGCACTGGGGAATATCAACAAACGCGTATTCGTTCTAGGACCTTTCCAATCGAAATAGGCCTTACATAAATCCTAATTGTGATGTTCGGCATCATTTGAAAAATTCTGTTATCTCTTCAAATATGCACCATCTCAGCAATCAAAAATGGTCTTCTTAGTGAGAAAACCAAGCGATGATACTGATATTTAACCATGCATCGGAACCATGGTGCGAACCTCATGTTGTATCCAATCTCAAAACCGAGGTTCATAACCGTCAACAAGAAGAGCTTCTGGTCAGAGTTCGATGTGGTATGCATGCTTTCCTAGTTAGAAAGGCTGGGAATTCCAGTAGGAAACTCCCCAAATTACCAAGTTTAATGTAAGGGATTCCGGGAAATTTGCGATTTCTGCTAACAAACATAAATTATGCTGAAATCTCAGTAAAAATAAATGCTTATCTAATCGCCGGTGCCGGTTTTTGCCGACCTAGATTGAGTGTGCTTCTTCTTCTTATTCTTCTTCTTCTTCTTCGCATTTCAAGCTTATTGCTTATCGCATATTAGCTTATTGCGTGCTCTCAACTTAGTGTTCTAGATGTACTTCCACAGTTATTAACTGAGAGCTTTCGATGCCTGTACCATTTTTGCATTAGTGATTCCAGACGACGAATTCGCAAATTCAATAATATTCTTATTATTTTTTTTCTTTGGCCCAGTTCCGAACCGCGAAATACATTCGAAAATGGCCAAAAACTATTAACATTAAAAAAAACTACGTTCAACCCGCTACATATCGAAACGGTGCGACATAGAAAAATTGTATCTGAGTTTGTTTTTTATTGTTAATTTGGTGTACTTTCAATATATTAAGTAAAAAAAATTGAAACATAAATAAAATCGATTTCCCATTTCCATTTCCTGTTAAGCCTTCATATTTCAATTGAAAACCGCTTGGGTAAGCTACATATGCTAGTCCTAAATATTAAACTAAATGACATCAATTGTACATAAGCATAATCATCTCATTAGCCCAATAAAGTATCGCACAATAAACTACCATAACGATCTATATATCATGTGATGTGCTTCACCGAAATAGGACCCCCAGATTGCTGATAAATAATGGCACGTGAACTGAACCGTACCAAAACAGAACAGAACAACTTGGAAGCTGTTAAGGCATATTTCTCAACTTACTAATTAGATATTCCGCATCTTTCTACGTGGAAAGCATCGCACTCTCTCATCTCATTAAGGCGGTAATATGTTGTTCTGATGTGAATGACCGAGCTCGTTTGTCAACGTGGAAAATGAGCAGCATTTCTTCGAAGAATGACAGGCATTCCAGTTACCGCTGCGCTAGGTTTGAAAACCCACCTAGCCGAAACGAAATTCCACATACATGTGTGCTTCAACAGATCGCAAGAATCATGCCCGAAAAGCAATGCAATTAGTGAAACAAGAAGCACTAATATCTCCACTCAATCACCATCACCATCGTTGATTCGCTTGTCAATCAGACATAATTCTGCGAGCGCCCAAGTTGTAAAGATGCAAATATCCACCACCGCACCACCCGCTGGCGCTGGCTCTGGCTGGCTGTTTTGTTGCTGCTTCCGCGACGCTGACGACTCATCACAGCTCTACCCTTTTCGGAGGCGATATTCTCGATAATCTGATCACCCGGAGCTCGACGCCTTAGATCCCGGCAATTATACCTAATAGAGTCCTATTATGCCATATCGATACACTGTGCTTCGGTATAGACTTGTATTCAAGAATGGCAGCAGCAATAGCCAAAGGACGACACGACGATTCCGGATGAACTTTTCCAGCAGCGGCGATTTGCCTATCGCCCGGTTGGCATCTGATTTATCTCACGAATTTATATTGTCGACCTACACAGGTCCACTGTTTACCCCCCATAGAACATGACCAAGCCTCTTCAGCTTCGTTCCGCATGGTGTTGTTAGTTTTGATTGGAAAAGGGGAAGGTCGGTCGACTCGTCTGCCAAGCCAGCTCGAGAAGCATCAGTGAACGATGAAATTAACGGTGCTAAATGTCTTGGATGAGAGAACAACAGTGAGTTCGCACTTACCTGAACGAGCAATAGCAAGCCTAACGAGCTTAGGCCAAGTGTCGTCCTCTTCCTCATTATGGCGGTCGTCGTTGTCCCCTACCGAGGGGAGAAGGACCGGGACGCAACAGACAGACGTGCGATGTTGGCTCTGTAAGAAAGATGGAAAGAAACGGATGAATAACCAAAAATGGAACACTCGGGATGGGTGGCCACTGCGTCGGTTGCCATGGAACGACCGTTGACCACGACAACTGTGTCCTTTTCGGAGAAAAACAAAAGGATTCGGTCGTCAATTTGAATTCGGCGACTCGATGGGGTGTGATTGTCGTATTCTTTCCTATCCTTGTGCACCCGTTTGAGGTGACACTTCGAAGAAAAGGGATCAGACAGCTTGCCGCTCGGGTGAACGGGAGGGATCGGGTATTGCAATTTAATTGTTTTATGCTAACTTAATTGTCAGTATGACCGTTGTGTTGGATTTGCGTGAGTGACTATATAAATCATCATGACAGTATTGGCCATACAGAGTGCAAGTACATCAAATTTGCTACTGTAATATACGACCTTATAAAGCGACTTGCTTTACATATACCATATTGTATACAATGTACCAAAATACTAGTGGAGGCCATATACTCGCGAAAACAAATTTATAAAGGTTTTGATATGACATTATAGAAGATGAAATATCCAATAAGAGATTCAGCCTTGCCATTGAACTATAGAAGATCAACCTTGCTATCGAAACAAATTATATACTTAATTCAAATTGCAATACCAACAACAATTCTTCTCCTTGCCGTCGTAAGTTTAAGAAACATTTCGTGGAATCATTGAAATCAAAATAAATTGTCTTCCAGTGCTTTTCAGTTTAATCCTAGCTCATTATCGATTTATCGATTCATTACGGCTGTACCCAATTTGGCTCGACGATTTTCGCATACAATAAAAATCCACTGCATATTTGCACATCTTGCCCACACCTCGAACACGATGACCAGCACTCTGCAGCTCAGCCGTTCGCCATAGACCCGGATATGGGTGTTGTTAAGAGTAAAGAATCAACGATAGAGTAAAATATGAAAACCATACACCAACCACTTATTCGACCATAAAACAGAACGTGACGATGACTGTGCTGCTGTGCTGGAGAAGATTCGTAGCTCGGTCGGTTGAGAAGAAGCTCCTTCTCGAATCGCTGTAATCGCGTTCCAAACCAAACCGGCTGGACGGTGGTGCTGTGGTGCAGGCATCGACATTACGGACCATCTAACACGTATCTTTTCCACATAAGCCGATACTAGTGTGACAGACCAATATACTACACGCAAAACAAATTTCTCTTACATCCAATGAGGCTGGATTTATTACATCCTCTGCATATGTTTCATACAACAAATGTAATTGCATATTTTTGTTAAAACCTTCACGAGATGATTTTCTGGACGCAATGCATTTGGGAACACAAACTTCGGACGAAAAATTAATCTGTAATAGAATCCTTCATTCCCCGGTTGGGTGTAGTAGAAGCAAAAAAATCTCACCGCAACATTGTCTGGTGGTGAACTTCGTTCCATCTCCTCTCGAGTGTGTGAGCGAGCGTAGAATCAGAGCTGAACTAAAGGGACGAGCAGGTTTTAAACTCATGAGCTGGGCTGGGTTGGAGACGGGGTAAAACGGGGTTGAAGATGAAACTCGGACTGCTTGCTCTCCCAGCAGCACTCGCAATACAAAGAGTAAAGGTATACTGGTCGAACCTGGTTGATCCGTGGTCATACAAGCGTGGCTAAATGTCAAACAAATAATGTCGATAATTAATTGAAACTTGAATCCATCAGTCGCAGTGCAGCAGTAAGTGTAATTGCTCACCTGGGTATACTGAATGGGGATAGTAAAAAATACGGGGAACTCGGTCGGGTGGTGTACACTATGGAAATATGACGGTTAATTGAAGCCGGGTGGATCTATATTTTCATTTTTCTGCTCGATCGAGTGAAGTTGATGAGTCAGCATAAAATGCTAAAAGGTATTCTGCTGGGTGTTAGGTAATCAAATAAGACTGAGACTGGAGAACATTGTTGATGGAAGAGAAACTTTGTTTGTTAGACAGATAATGCTGACCAAATGAAATCTAGAATTAATCATATCTCAACCAACAAAGGTAAACATTATTCGCCTGTATAAAATAAAACTCATTGTTCTGGCACTTGTCGGGAAGGTCTTTTAGAGCCAGACTTTTCCCCCAAAAAATCACAAATATGGTGATGAATTTGAAGGATCATAGGCAAAAGTGTGTTAAGGGACGATAAAATAAAATATAAACGGTTTGGTCCATTGCTTAAGAAGCAATAATGGTGAGAAGCAAACTTTAAAGACGATTTTCTCAGCTTGCTGATTTGTGCTATGGGACAGACTTGCCAGGAGCGGCAGTATACTTGAAGGTGATTTTAGAAGTATCAGAATTATGATAAGTCATCAAGGAAACTAGAATTGCCTTTATTTTGCATATATTTACTCTAAACAATTATAAATGGAACAAAATGGTAGTGGAATTAAATGGAAATTACTAATCCTTCTCTCTCTCTTTATTTACCCTATTGCTATTTTCAAGTGAATTTCATTCTTCACCAACTTCTTGGCACAAAAATGTGGTTCTTTCTTCACACCACCAAGATTTGCAGTGGCAAACTTCTCAAAAACTGCCAATAATATTGCGAACTATTGCCCCATTGCTGAAACGAACTTTTCCCTTACCGATGAACACTCTTCTGGAAAAAAAAAAAAGTTGCAGGGTGATGTACAAGACACGACCACATTGGTATTTCGAAGGACTACGAAATTCACCAACACACGTGAATAAAGGAGTAAAAGTTAATCACTCTGAGTTAGTTTCGTTTTCAGTGTACAACGAAAAGAACACCCCTGTTTACCACTCGGCAGTCAAGCGATGACTGCAGTCAAACTTTCTACGTTTCCCTTACTTAAGCATTTAGATTAGCATTATATGCCCTCCTTTTTTTTCTGTATTTCGCTGATGTAGGTGAATGAAAACCTGACGAAATATTGTCAAGTTTTTAAAAATAAAATGTATTGAGCTGCTAGGAATGGTACGGTGTCCACGCTGCAGCGGACAAGTCCGAGGTCGACCCGTCCAAAGTGCAACTTTGAATGATTGCGCGGCTTCGGCTTGTTTTGTTAGGGATCATTTTTCTGATGGCTGTGTTAGGGGTGAGCACCTTGTGGTCCAAGAACATGTATGAATATTTCCATATTTCTTCATTTTTAACTATTTAAATATGTAACAATTATAATGTGTGACACACCACACAAATGTTATAACACTGGTGATCGCCATACAAATCATCAAAATCCATTGATTATTGGCCAAGTTATTAGCATTTAAAGTCTGACCAAGTTGCATTTCCTTAGCTCAGTCGGTAAAGGCGCAGCTACAAAGCAAGACCATGCTGGAGGCGGCTGGGTTCGATTCCCGGTCCGGTCTAGGAATTTTTCGGGTTGGAAAATTTCTCGACTTCCCTGGGCATAGAAGTATGATTGGACAACACAATCATATCAATGCAAAAATGGTACAGGCATCGAAAGCTCTCAATTAATAACTGTGGAAGTTCATCTAGAACACTAAGTTGAGAGCACGCAATAAGCTAATATGCGATATGCAATAAGCTTAAAATGCGAAGAAGATGAAGAAGAAGATGAAGAAGTTGCATTTCCCTGAATTGGCACCCTTCCCGAAAGACGTAGTCGTACGTCAAAATGTTCTGGGGCAATAGTCGGCGAAACCAGAACGGCACAATCTTGTACAACGATCTGCAGGAAGTCCACTAAAACATCCGGTGTCCAGACACTCCCACCCGGTTGAGTCGATCCGGACCTCATGCCAGCATCGACATCTTCATCAGCAACATTGGCGATAACATCTCTCAACCTGTCGCCTATCAGGAACTGATCTCGGACCACTATCCGGTGGTGGCCGAAGTTGGTTCCGCGGCCAATAGGTTTCACGTTTCCCGGCAAAATTACCATCATGTCAACTGGCAGCAGTGCCAGCGCTGTGTGAACACAGCAATCGACTACGACGTCCTACCGCAAGAGGCTATATCCCGGAGTCGAAGAGGCTTATCCCGTGCCAGGGAGCAACACGTACCAGCATCCAGACAGGTGAGTCATACTCTGAACATTGGCAGCCCAACCAAAGATCTTATCAGGCTCCGTAACACCATTCGTAGGCAGTTCCAGCGTTCTAGGCTGCCCCACTTGAAGACCACCGTCAATAGACTAACCAAAATTATCCAGGCCAGGATGGTGGAAATCAGGAATAACGATTTTGCCAACAAGATTCACTCTCTCCCAGATTGTGCAAAGCCATTTTGGAAAATGACCAAAATTTTGAAAAATATTTCGAGACCAATCCCTCCGCTTTCCTCTGTTGACCAGAACTCGGACCCATCCCTACTTATAACCCCAGTTTAAAAGGCCAATGCTCCATGGCCAACATTTTGTGATTTAACATAATCTTGGCCAAACCATTGTGAGTCTCCATGCGCCTGCCGTACTGGAGGCAATCTCTAGACTCTAGAGTCGGTTATACCCCCGTAGTAGTGCATGATGATAGTAGAATATCGGCTGATGAGGTTTTAGCAGCTGTTAGAAACACTAAAAACATGAAAGCCGCGGGTATGGATGGTGTAGTCAACCTCGAGTTGAAAAACTTGAATATTGACTTTTTCAACCATCTTACCGTTATCTTCAACAAATGTTTAGAGCTTGGCTACTTCCCTGCATGCTAGAAGTTAGCCGAAGTGATTCCAATACACAAGCCTGGCAAAGATCCTACCAGTTCCAAAAGCTATCGCCGCCTTTTGTCCTCCATCTCGAAGCTATTCGAAAAGTTGATTCTCAGCCGGTTGCTGGAGTTCTCCAACGAAAATAACATCTTACTCAAGGCGCAATTCGGGTTTAGGAAAGGTCATTCAACGATCCACCAACTAAGTAGAGTTACTAACATCATCAGGCGGAACAAATCCGTTTCAAACACATCTGCTATGGCATTGTTGGACGTTGAGAAGGCGTTTTACAATGTCTGGCATGATGGCCTAGTGTACAAGCTGCATCGATACAACTTTCCGA